GGCCCGGCGTATGCTTTTTTCTTAGCTAGTCTCTTTTGGATTCAACTTTTGGAACTCAAAATTTGTGGAATGGGAATTTTCGGAACGTCAGCGTGCCGTCAAAGCCTAGCTACGAGATAAGAAACACTGTTGATAATAATATATGCAGTTTATTATGTCAACAAATAAATTATGCAAAGAAAACATTAAATTTTTAGTAAGAACACAAACAATTCAAAAAATCGTAAAATTATAATTTTGTTTCCTTCTGAGTTTGTCGTCGCAAGGCGAAATGAGCAGAATATGTGAAGGCGTTGCTGAAAATCTCATTCATGAAGCATACTGTATTGTTTTCATTTTCGGAGTAATAATGAGACGAAAAAATACCAGTTGAAAGAAAGGCGAAACGGCAATCAGAGACAAAATTATTTTTTGCATATTTTTAGAAAAAATCGGCCACTGACAAAATAATCATTCGACTGAACCGGAAATTCACGAAAAAAATTCTATTTTATATGATTTTTACAATAAATTACAAAAAAAAACCATTTTTTAAGTTGTAAAGTCGTTTAAAATTCGGAAAAATGAAGTCGGAAAATAAAAAAATTAAAAAGTTTGCGCGTCGGATTGCGTGCTTTAGGTGCGAACACCGCGACGGCAAATCACACGTTCCCTGAAATTTTCCCCGAAAATTTTGCTGTCTCGCCCCCTTTAAGACCAACATTCTAACTCGTTTCCTTTCAGCTGAAAAGTTTGCGACTTCGAAAAAAAATCACTGAAAATCGGTCGTCGTGAAAAATTTCAAATTAGTGTAAACACGATAATATCAGATTCAAAACCAGCGTAAAAAATCACACTAGAAAATGTTTGTTTGAGTTTGCATATCTTGAGCACAAAATGAGTTTTAGTCCAAAAAGTGCAAAGACACCATGTGGGGGAGCACATGGCACCAAAAATTCGCCCAAAATCGACCACCTCCATTTTGATGAATATCATACCAGATGTAGTATTTGTTATGGTTATTATTCTGGCAAAGTTTCAAGATTCGTTCTCATCGTCTTCGTGTTTTTTTCCAAGTACCAAAAAATCGGGAATAATTACTT